AAAAAATAAAACTTGATTAACAAAACAAAACAATAACAAACAGCATGAACAACACCAATACACAAAACACCAAACAAAAACACAAATCAAACCAAATCCCTGAAATAAAACACTATTTGGACAAAACACCACATCAAGACAATTAAATAAAACACAAAAAATTAAATGCATGAACAAAACATCACATACTACACTAAACAAAACATCAGACAATTTGAGCAGCACATAAAGCACTGTTTAATGTAGTTTGATAAACCCACTCCAGCACAACTACAGAGAACATAAAAAAAAAAACTATGAAGTCAATACACCACCTCAACAGATGAAAACAAGACACGCTGGAGGAAAGTCTCTGCAGTGCTTTCTGTATTTTCTTTCTCTCTTTTTGCAATCATCCCGAGAGCTGAAGATGGAGTGTCAGAATTAGCCCTGATAACCTGCTGGTGTTGCCTTTCCCAGAGGACCAAAAATCCCTTTTTTCTTTCTTCATCTTCACTTGTTAGCTGGATGAAAGACATTCCTGGCAGACAGATCCTCCAGAGGACAATACTTCACTTGACTTTTCTTGCAGGATTTCTGATGGATTGCTTTCACCCACAGTCTGACACGCTGAATCTCAGCTATTTCCAAATCAGAAGAGAATCCAGTGTAATATGTATGATTTTGAATCAAATTTGGCCTGAGACCAAACCCGCCGATAAGTATTTTTACTTCCGACCTCACAGCAGCGTGCCGAACAATAACACTGCCGCTCATTTAACAGCATTCTGGGTTCATAACTTATATTTTGACCAAACACAGGGCCTTCTCGGAATTTTAGAAATGTTCAGTTTTATGCAAAATTCAGCCTCGTATCCACAAAATATTCAACTTTAGTCAAGATGTAAATATTATTTTCCAAATCTGCATTCAGATCATTTCAGAAAGTCAGTCAGCAGCCACATTTGGAGAGAGAAGAGCTGAAATAGATTAAGAAAAACAACCTTAACCTGAGATATGCTCGCTGTTTGGTAACACTTTAGTGGTGCACTCCTAGAAAATAATAGTTTTTTGGCCCACATCTGATATTAAATAATATGCTGACACAACTCATAATGATAAACAAATAATAATGATAACCTATGGGTAAAAGATCAACCAGGTGCTTATGAAGCCTGTTAAAGGGTTAAGTAAAAACTCACACTCGTGGTTTTTGTTTCCTGCCTAATATTAAGGGTTTGAATGTTTATTATGAATATTCTGCATGATCTTATTCTTCATTAAAGGTGACCTATAATGCCTCTTTTTATAACATGTAAAATTAGTGTCTGATGTCTTTATCAGTGATGACTTAATCAAGTGTGATTATAAATAAAATAAATGTAATTCATGTTTACCTGTAGAGGCTGGATATATTGACCCATAACTGTTTAAACCATTTATAAAAGTGATTTTGTTTACATAATCAGTTTAATAAGCAGCAAAGTGGGAGTTGATTGAGCTGAAAGTCATCATTATTAATGGTTTGTTAATAGTGAGAATTGTAGCTTAAAATAAACAAATCTTCATACAGTATTACTTTTTTATTTGATTTAACCTTTGTGAATTTGGCTTTAAGAAGGAAACACCTTAACAACCTTCATCAAATTTATAACACAGTCGAATTGACGCAATTATGACGCTTTAATAATAATAAAAAAAGAGTTTTATGTTGGCTCCATGCTGACACTCAAACAATTTCTCCATCCAGCTGACAGAGAACACACCATTCCTCAGCTTCTGACAAGACCACCACACAAGAGTTAACCCACATAAATCTACCAGCAGATCCATAACTCCTGCAAGAGTGACGGAGCCCAGCGTTTCTGTATCAGTGTGTGTCACGTCTGAGCAGACTGAAGGCTGAACATATTTTTATGATGGAGTAATAAATAATAGATTGATGTGTCCCTCCAGGATGACTTGCTGCATGTTGATGCTGACTTTGGCTCTTTGGCACATTTTCTCTGCAGAGCATGACAAAGACACAGCTGATGGCGAGAACAGTTTAAACAGAGCGCAGGCCATTCGTTACCAGAACTATTCTTTCAGGACTGATCTCAGTTCAGGTTACTTGTCTCTGTTTGGCGTTTAGCATTTAAAGAAGGCATGAAATGTGCACTGTGGTTAGCACTGTGGCTTCACATTAAGAAGGTCACTAGTTCGAGTCCCAGCTGGGTCAGTTGGTGTTTCTGTGTGGAGTTTGCATGTTCTCCCCGTGTTGGCGTGGGTTTGATCCGGGTGCTCTGGTTTCCCCCACAGTCCAAACACATGCGCTATAGGGGAACTGATCAACTAAACTGGCTGTAGTGAATGAGTGTGTATGGGTGTTTCCCAGTACTGGGCTGCAGCTGAAAGGGCTTTCGCTTTGTAAAACATAAGCTGGAATAGTTGGCAGTTCATTTTACTGTGGCGACCCCTGAAATGAAGACTAAGCCGAAGGAAAATGAATCTATGAATGAAAAAAATAGGAAACAGAAGTTCCAGTGTTTTTTAATTTAATTTAATTTAATTTTTTTATTTTATTTTATTTTATTTTATTTACTGTGTTTTTTATTTTATGAAATTTAATAAAATTTTATTTTATTTAATGTTTTTTATTTTATTAAATTTAATTAAAATAAATTTAATTAAATTTTCTTTACTGTGTTTTTTATTTTATTAAATTTAATCAAATTTTATTTTATTTTACTTTATTTTTATTTATTTATTTTCTTTACTGTGTTTAAGCCCCTTATAAAAGTGTTTTTTTTATTTTTTGCATAATATTTTAGATATTTGGACAAGAAACAAGACAAAAATAATGTTTTGCAGGTTATTCCATCAAGCCATCAAAATAAAGTTTAAACATTATTCGTACTGCAGAACGAGACATGAATATTTGTTAAAAAATAATGTAATCTCACAAAATCTTGAAAGGTTTAAAAAACGAAATCACAAAGTATGTTGTGTCCAAAACACATCCGAACATTCATCACATGCTGTTGCTTCAGTAAAATCAGGGGATCTGTACACGTGTGTCTCATTCAACCTTAAAGATGAATAACATTATTGCCATTTTAAGCAGACAGGCTCACCGAGCATTCATCAGCCGGAGTGTAAAGCGCAGGCCAAATTCACAGTTCACATCAATCACAGACGGGAGACTCGCACATGATGCAGAATGAATGTGAATATTGATTCATGTGCTGCTCTCGAAGGGACGCAGATCGTGAGAACATGAGAAAACATCTCATCTCCAGTCCCGACTCACTCCTCCAGACACGACCCTCCGCAGCTCCACCTGTTCCTCAACTCTATTATTATTATTATGAACTAATAAAACCCTCGTCTGCTCATCTGCCTACAGCGGGTCACACGGGGGTCGCCTGCAGACGACAGCCAATCACTGAAGAGTATGAGCTGCGAGTATATGCTTTACACAGATACTGAACTCTGATTACTGTTCACTCACTCGCTATCCTACAGTTTAGTCCCTGATTTATAGAGGGTCGCCGCAGCAGAATGAACCACCAATTACTCTGGCGTGCAGTACTGTGCAAAAGTTTTAGGCCAGTGTTAAATCTGTTGTTTTACTGATGGAATAATTGAGATATGTGACCTGAAAACCAGTCACACGTGTAAATATTCATTCATTCATTTTCTATTCGGCTTAGTCCCTTTATTAATCTGGGGTCACCACAGTGGAATGAACTGCCAACTAATCCAGCTTATGTTTTACGCAGCAGATGCCTATCTAACTGCAACCCATCACTGGGAAACACCCATACACACTCATACATTCATTCATTTCTTTTTCAGCTTATTAATCTGGGGTCGCCACAGCGGAATGAACCGCCAACTTATCCAGCATATTTTATACACAGCGGATGCCCTTCCAGCCGCAACCCATCACTGGGAAACATCCATACCCACTCATTCACAGAAAATAATCAGTAAATCAGCAGTTTTCCATATTTAGTTATTCATGATTTATTTCCTCATTTATTTCTGCTGTTGAATTGCATTACAGAAGCTTGATCTTTCTTCCAACAACCTGTAAAAGTGTGTGTATTACATGTGTAATAGTGTGCAGTGCGGTATTGTGTGTGTTGTTGTTGTATATTACTCTCACTGAAAAAAAATATTCAAAGATGATTCCTTGGATTTACTCAATTTCTTGACGCTAAGAGGTTGTAAACAATTTATTTGGGCTGAATTTAAACAAACAAATTAAGTTGAACATTACTAAACTTAATTTGTTTGTTTAAATTCAACACAAACAAATTGTTTGCAACAGTTCTGCATGCAACACTTTTTTCAGTATACAGACACCCTGTAATGAAGTGCAGCACATTTACTGCTGTTTTTGACTTATTTCTCTAGATATTATCTCTGATACATTATATTATTTCACTAAGATATCAGTAAAAGTCTCTTTGTTAAACTGTAGAGTTGAAATTTCAACATCAGAAGTGGACAGAGCAGATCAACATCCCATAATGCAGCTCACCAACACAAAACACTTGAGAATCACAAAATATGGAAACTGTTATGTTGTTAGTATAAAATGCCATGCACTTTTACTTGAGAATGTTTTAAGAGATCCTGGATTATAATGAAATGAACCTCACTTTAACAATGACAGCTTTTGCACACGATCTGAAAACATATTCCTTGATCTCTCTCACACACACCTGTGTTGAACATAGCATTCTCTGCATGCTTCTCCCATCATGCACCATGGGAAGCTACATGGGCTTTCTCATCTAGAGGGGTGAATCGAGGGCACATTCCAAGACAGCAAACAATTCCTACCCCCTTGCGAAAGGATAAGACGTACCTTTGCGAAGTAATGAGAGAACGTAATCTAACCTGAGGCCATATGGTATTAATTTTTACATTTAAGCCACAAGTTTCAAATCAGCTTAGCAGAAGAATCTGAACATGCTTCAGTAGTTCAGTGTTTGCTGCTCCACATGCACAAACAAGAAGACAAGCCGTGGATATAAACACAGCACAGGTTTAATTTAATAACAAACAACAGGATCTTTATGTTGACCATGAAAAGTGAGAACACGAATGTCAGTTCAGGAATATCAGTCAGCTTCTGGCATGACTCAGATAAATGTTAAAGCTTTGAATAAATAAATGATTGATTATCTAGTGGTTGTCAGAAGCGGAGATTGTATTATACAACGTTTAGTTAGTGTAATAAATATATACTCTCTTGAATATACTCTGATATCAAAATTATGGCATTTAAAACAGATGTCTTGTGGTTAGTGGTGATATACAGGATTTCTGTTCATGCTTGGAGAGAGCGAGGAATTTCCCTTTTGTCTTTTTCTAATAGAAATAATTATTCATGCTTATGTGGGAACTCATATATCAAATTATGAAAAATCATATTCCGTTTTTTGTTTGTTTTTTCAGTGGCTTTGGTACAGTTCTCTGATCAGAATTGCTCAAAACTATTCAGTCTTTCCATCATTGTGTCATAATGTTATACATAATTGTATACTGTCCAGCATTTCTGTACATTTCCATCAGACTTTTCTTTCTAATTATGTCCTGATGGTCATCCATGGTGTTCTGCTAAGTGTACGAGTTGATTTGAGAAATGCACGACCATTTTGCACATGTCAAAGATTATTCAGGAAATGTCAACAGAAATCTAGAAACGCCGTCAATCTGAGCACCTTTTCTTAGAAGTAGCCAGTGTTGCAGAACAAGGATGCTGTACAGCACGCTTTAGTGAATGCAGTATTTTGAAGTCCTTTACATGTTGCATGTTAGTGATTGTCTCGGTGGTTTAAAACTTCATTTATGTCTGTTTAGGTGGTCAGATCATAGTAGCCGATCACAGAAGTCCCCCATGCCCACACTGAGAGTTTCAGCCCATGCACCGCTGCTTTACTCTGATGTCATTTGTCCATGATTGCAGCTCAAGACGTTTCGTTCCTTCCCACGTCTCTTTAATTCTCCTTCTCAGTAAAGGCCTTGCTTTAGGACAGACGTGAACCTTGTCTCGGAGGTGATTCTCCAGGTGTTTGATAGAAGAATAAAGAGGCAGTCCTGCAGATGAGTGAATATCAGTTTAGCCCTGCTTCAGTGAACGCTCATGTTGATCTGGAGGAAACACACACATAAACAGGCAGAGTTGTAAAGGCTGGTGCAACAGTCTCTTTTCTCAATGACGATTGTTTAAGGGTCATCACTATCTTAAAAAGTTTTTAATATTTTGAGTTTTAATATGAGTTTTTCTGAATTATATCAAATTACAAAAAGACGAATGAGCGCTTGTCTGAGGTGTGTGTAATGCAGTGTGTATGACGACAGGACACGGTGTTTGTACACAGAATTGTTTGGCATGAATTGTTGGATATTTTCAGGCAGTGATGTCATGGGTTGCCAGTTGGGGCTGAGTGAGACATGTCTCGTGAGTTTTGATCCTGTGAAGTTTGCCTTTTTATACTCCACTTCGAGATCTATTTTTTTAAACTCAGTACCTATCAGAGTATTTAATATGCTGATCTTTTGCTTTGCCAGATTTTCTTTTTATCACACTAATGTTTTCCTCGTTCTGAAAGTCTTGATAACACCATCCTGGAGTTTTTCTGTCATTATATCAGCAAATAGGATTGTCGAATAATGATTTGTTGTACTCTCCCATTCACTGCGCTCTGAGTTTACTTTCCTTACTAATATGCAATTTCCTCTCTGACTCCTCCACTAACTAAAAAAATAATTAAAAAAATAATAATAAAATTACTAATGTTTTGCTTCTTACACTGTCTTTACATAACTGATACTTTCCTACAGCACTTATTCATTGTTGCTCTTATGGTTGTGTAAATTGCTTCCTTGTCCTCATTTGTAAGTCGCTTTGGATAGAAGCGTCTGCTAAATGACTAAATGTAAATGTTACCAACTATCACCACTTCTGCTGCAGAGAAACACAAGCTCCATTGAGCCTTAAAGAGTTAGTTCATGCACAAATTTAATTCTGCTATTAATTTCTTTGTCTCATGTCGTGCCAAACCCTTTAGACCTCTACAGACAGCAAGGTTCCCAAGAGGTTCCTGTTTGGTGTCATCTTGTGACTGAATGAGAAGTAGGTTAGTGTATACTCCATTTAGCTAGATTTGATTCTGTCTGCTTTGCATTTATTTAAACTGTTAATTGATTATTACAGCTCAACAGTTCCTAATAAACTACATTAAAGTCAGACTTATTAGCTCTCTTGAATTATTCGCCTCCCTGTATATTGTCCCCTAATTTCTGTTTAATGGAGAGAAACACATTTCTAATCATAATAGTGTTAATAATTCATCTCTAATAACTGATTTACTTTCCTCTTTATCATGATGACAGCACATAATATTAGTCTAGATATCCTTCAAGACACTGGTATTCAGCTTAAAGTGACATGTAAAGGCTACACTAGGGTAATTAGGGTAAAGTTAGGGTAATTAGGTAAGTCATTGTATAACAGTGGTT